GCTGTAATTAAAACCCTCGGCACAAGGTGGCAGCAGGCTGTTTACCAAGCTGTTTCAGAGATACTAGGAACTGCAGATGCTGGAGAGCATCCAGTTCTACACCGTGTTATCTCTGTTTACCAAGCTGAATTTGTGGTGTCTCTGAAAGCTTTCAAATGCTCTGAGACATTTGATTACTTAGAAGTGCATGACAAATTGAGAGATTATGAAGGGAATTTAACAATCTTACTAATTAATGGGAAGGGAAGGATCATCTTGGCTCTGAATTGTAGTTTGCAGGTTAACTGTTCGCTTAAAGAGGATTGACTTACAAGGGAAGTAAAGTGAAATTCGATAACTTCTGTAAAGGGTTGGCATGCATGTGACTAGCCAAAGTGAATTCACAAGGCTAGTTTCACAGAAACATTCAGAGTATGGGATTGGGAATTTTATTAACACGTTGTGAGAATTGTAAGTGAGAGAGAATGGGACATGTAGCCCTCAGTGGGAGTAAGTCCTGCCTTCAGCTGTATGCTCCCAGCAGTGCTGGATCTCAGGAATGGGCATTGTTGGGACTGCAAGTCACCTCAAGGATGAAGAAAACATGGATCATGGAGTGAGGACAGTCAGAGACGAAGAAGGATTGGGAAGCACAGGGAAAGGGACAGGGGGTGCTGAATATGCAAGTGAGGCACCACCATCAAAAGGACATGTGCCATTCCCTTGGGGTTGGAAAACAGTTTGCTTTAGAGAGGGTATGCCCACTCCAACCACTGTTATGGTATGGGCAGCATTTTATTGGAGTCAATTGATTTGGTAATGAGTTCAATTGACCCACAGTTGCTTATTGAGAAGTGATGGGCTGGCTACCAATTTTAGCGTCCTTCATGTTTCATTTTCCCAATCATACCACAAGGGCATCCAAGATGGGGCATATAAAGTCCAGCTCAACGTGCCCACACAACATGTTGTATAGTTCCATCACACAGATGAGAACAAAGTTGTTTTGTTGTATTCTAAAAATTCACTGCCAGTCTGAATTTTTTTTTGTCACTCTCTAGAAAATTGTAAGAGGTCAGAATACGTATAAACATCGTCTACTATGAAAGCCTTGACTGCACAGCCCTGGTCCTTACCTTTCTGTCATAGTATTTTCAGGACAGAACCAAGCCATTGGGCCTAAGTGGTTTATTGCCAGAGTTTATCCCACACTAGCCTCCTTATATCCCATTTAATCTCCTACTATCAACATAACCTTCTCTTCCCTTGAATTCTTATATAGTAGGCCCTTTAGATATATCGACATTATTTACCTGAGCTGCTCTTTGTGGTAGTGAGCTCCATATTCTGACCACTTGCTGAATAAAGAAGTTTCACCTGAATTCCCTGTTGGATTTATAAGTTTTGCATTTCTGCAAGAGTTGAAAGGTCTTCTTCATGGCAATTCTGTTAAGATTCTTCATTACGTTAAGGAACAAGGTTCAATGGAAGAAATATTTTTGCTCCCCTCCCCCCCACTGCATCCATCATATAACTGAAGTGGAATATTGTTGAGATTCAGATCTCTACCCAGACTGTACAGAGGAGGGGATAAGCGGACGAAGAAGGCTGTCTGAATCTCAAAACGTCTCCACATTTTGGCATCAGGAGTCACTCTGACAATGTCCTCTATAGGGGAATTAGAGGTTAGAAGCTGCTCTCTGTGAGCTGACAGTGCACACTCTGGTCTGTTTCAGTTCTGCAATTCCTCACAAACCTCTAGAAGAATAGTAGTTTGATAGTACAGAACCATATGCAGTATCGCTGAGAAAGGACGCACATTGTCAAAGCTGTTTGTTTTGCACTTAGCAGGACAATTCACAAGAAATAAAGGGAAAAGCAATACATCTACTGCAAAACCTGGTCAGAGAAACCCAGGAAAAGAGAGACTAGAGCATGGCTAAACGGATAAGATGCAGTTTTTCCAAACCTTCACAAAGAAACTGGGCAAGCAGCTGAAGAAGAAGGGATAGATTATCCACTGGTAGAAGAATTAAAGTGACTGGTTTTCGTGAAAATTTGTGGCATTGGCCTAAATCCAGCTGCCTCGTACCATGTCCATATTATTCTGGTTGTGTTGTGAGCTCAAAACTCATTTATGCCGCAAAGTCTAAGCTGAGTAACCACTGGAGATGGGATTTTGTCCCATCAGCTATCAGTAAATGTTGGGAAGATTCCAGCCTATGAGGTTGTGGGCTCCACTGGCAAGGTAGGCATTTATTGGTCATGTTTATTACCTTCGACAATGTAGCTAAGCAAACCTTATCTTCATCCACTGAAATCAGGGTGGTGACAGTGTTCAGACTTTTTTTGTCTGATAGATGTCTGCTTTATGGTGTTATGGACCAGACCAGACCTCCTCAAAATATTTAAAGAATGTAGCCTAGACCCTAAAGTTTTCTTATTTTATAGGCAAATGTAAAGTGTTTGTTCCAGATACAATGCAACAGGTCAAACTACTCGACGTTAAGCAAAACACAATTTATTTAAACACTCTAGTTAAAATACAACCAAAAAAGGAATTTAGAATAACAACTTTGTTAGAAAGCTTAATTGAATAATAGTTACAGTAACTATTACTAATTTACTGTTCCATTATAGTGACATCTCATAAACGCACCCCTTGGCAAAAAGGAAAATTCAGACACGGATTCTCACATGCAGATCTCCAATCCAGGAAGGAAAAACATCAAGCGAATTCAGAGAGAGTAGCAGCCTGGAGACATTCACTGAAGCTTCCTACTCTGTTAAGACCCCCAAAAGCTTCTGCTTAAAGCTAAATCTAAAACCCTGGTCTTTGAAGGCTGGCCACACCCAGTCAGGCTGTTTTAAAGAAAAATCCAAGGCCTCCCAAGCTGTTTACTCTGTTGGCTCTGGTAGACTGCTCAGTGCCTCTGCCTTACAACCACACTTCAATAAAAAACAAAATAACTTCTTAAAGTCACAGTATCGTCACAATAGTAGTGCATCTGTTGAACTCTACTACAGTCTCACTAGCTCCCCTGTTAGCAACCTGTTATGCAGTATCTTCTTTCTGCTCATGACACACGATCATAGTGGCTAGGCTGGAGTGTTCAGTAGTTCCGGAGGTTGAAGAACGGAAACCTAAGCAATGTCAGTACATTTTCAGACTTTCGAAACTGAATTAATATCTTCAAACTGGGATGGTGGGATTGGAATCTATCTCTGGATTAGTAGAAAGACTTGCATTTCTGTGGCACCTGTCATGATCACCAGATGTCTCAAAACGCTTTACAGTCAGTGAAGTATTTTTGAAGTATAGTCCCAGTTGTAATATGGCAAGCAATCTCCCACAAACAGCAATGTTATAATTATCAGTTAATCTTGTTTCTCATGATGTTGATTTTATTACGAAGACAATTAAATTTAATATTTCTAAAAGGGTTTGAAGGACTGTGAAAAAATAGCTTTATTTCAAGTTTTGTGGCAATACCTGAAGTGGTTTCTTTAAAAGAGAATGTTGAAAGATCATTTTCGATATTGGAGATTTATTTTCAACAAGTGATAACTGCTTGCTTTGGTGTGGATCCCTGCTGGGCCTTTTAGAACAGTGAGTAGATAGTGAGTGCTTTTGTATCTGGTCTTTAACTGAGGACATGGAGCCTGTGAGGAAGGGCTACCTAGTTAATCTCTCCCAATTATTGAAAAGAAAATAGTCCTGAAGTCAGGTGTGTGAAAGACTCCAGAGGCAACCGTGCGTGAGTAGTAATTAGACCACACTTGTGAGTGACAGACTTTAGAACATTCAACATTTTTTTTTGCCTTCAAGACTAAAACATGGGCCAAAGAGTTTTGTTTCCAGAAAGCCAATCTCTGCATAAAAATCCTTTTCTTCCCCTCTCTTTCCCTAAAGTGTGTGCGTGTTTGTACATGTGCTCGTGTGTGTGTGTGTGTGTGTGTGTGTGTGTGTGTGTCTTTTTAGGGATATTTAGAGGCAGATCACTTATATTTTTATAGTACTGACTGTAGGTTTGCCAACAATTGCATCTTCAATAAAAAATGTTGTGTGATAATAAACCAATAATTGTGTTTATTAGAAACCTGGTAGATAGATTTTTTAAAAATTTAAAATCTAATATAGATAAGGAAACGTATTTTTATTTGTGGTTGTGACCTGTAGAATTGTGAACTCAAGCAACAGTGTACTCCTTAGTCATAACAACTGAGTGATAAATGATGGCCAGGATACGAAAATGCCTTGCTCTTGTCCAAAATACTGCCAAATAATCTTCCACATCCACCTGAGAGTTGGGAAGGGCAGTTCTAAAAAACAAGACCTCTGACCATACAGGTGGGTCAGCTTACTTTCTCAGCTCAAGCCCTGAGGTGCGATTTGAACTCACAACGCTCCAGCATGGGCCAGATTTTGAGATCGTTGGCCCGAAACCACTCCAACAAGAGTCCATCAACGGGACATGAAGGTGGAGGAGTGCACTGCAGTTTCACTTTCTTGCCTCTGAGTTGTGAGAAGTTCTTAAAACATGTATTGTTGAAGGAGTAGGCAAGATGATGTGTGTGACTGTGACCTTGGTAAGTGCTTTTATATATTAAATCTATTGTCAGCTGGTGTCAATCATTCCTAGCTTCCAGCTGTTAACAGTTTGGCCTCAACATGCCTCAGTGCTTTCATGTACATTTGATACATTTGTGAGGGAGTTGGTGTGAGCTAAGTACTGACTGTAGGGGAAGTGTGAGTGGATAAGATTTCCTTTCAGGTTGATACTGTAAAGCTAATCTCCCCTTTTCCCCTGGAAGAAATCGAGAACATTTTTATAGCTTTACACATTCCTTTTCAAAATGCTGCATGAGCTTTCCTTTGACTTTTTATAACATTATATATATATATATAAATCAAAATGGTGGAATCGAAATTCATGATGGCTATAAAATGCTATTTACCATTTTATTTCTTTAATTTTCTTGTTTTACTTCTCTTAGCATTTTCCTTTTGTATTTTACAGGCTTCTGCTCCAGGCTGGAATTGATATCAATCGTCAGACAAAGGCTGGAACAGCTTTACATGAAGCTGCACTCTGTGGGAAAACTGAAGTGGTTCGCTTGCTACTGGAAGTAAGGATTGTTCTGAGAGAAACATTTTGGACCAAGATTCAGCCCTGTAAGATGGACTTGCTTGCCTACATGTAGGGTCTTAATTTTTCTTCTGGCCACTGTGTTGAGGCTGTACAGGACGTTGGTGAGGCCACTTTTGGAGTACTGTGTTCAAATCTGGTCTCCTGCTACTGGAAGGATGTTATTAAATTGGAAAGGATGCAGAAAATATTTACAGGACTGGAGGGTTTGAGTCTTAAGGAGAGGCTGGATAGGCTGAGACTTCTTTCCCTGAAGCGTAGCAGTTTGACAGGTGACCTTATGGAGGTTTATAAAATAGTGAGGGCCATAGATAAGGTGAATAGCAAAGGTCTTTTCCCTAGAGTAAGGCAGTTCAAAACTAGGGGCCATATTTTTGGAGGTGAGAGGAGAAAAATTTGAAAGGGATCTGAGGGGCATTTTTTTCACACAGAGCATGGTTTGTATGTGGAATGAGCTGCCAGAGGAATTGCAGGTACGGTTACAACATTTTAAAAACATTTGGACAGATACATGAATAGGAAAGGTTTAGAGGGATATGGGCCAAATGCAGACAAATGGGACTCACTTGGTTTGGGAAACTTGAGGTTGGTTGGCTCGCCGAGCTGGTTTGTTGTTCCGCAGACGTTTCGTTACCATGCTTGGTAACATCCTCAGTGTAGCCTCTGATGAAGCGTCGGTGTGTTTTCCTACCTGGCTTTTAAACTCTGGGGTCCATTGCGATGGATTGCCTCACTTCCGGGTTTCCTCCGTAGTAGAATGTATATGGGGTCGAGTTCAATGTGTTTATTAATAGCCTGCTTCGTGGAGTGCCATGCTTCCAGGAATTCTCCTGCTTGTCTCTGCCTAGCCTGTCCCAGGATCTTGGTGTTGCCCCAGTAGAAGTCATGGTTCTCCTTGTCCATGTGGATTGAGATGAGTGAGTATTACAAGGGTTTCTTCATAGGCAACACCAATTCATGTACCCTTGTTGTTAGTTTCCTTCCTGTTTGTCCGATGTAGTGTTTCTCGCAGTCTCTGCAGGGGATCTTGTAGATGACATTGGTCCTGTCCATGGCGGGGAGTGGGTCTTTCGTTCGGGTGAGCCATATCAACCCTACGACAAGTGCTTACCCGAACTAAAGACCCACTCCCCGCCATGGACAGGACCAATGTCATCTACAAGATCCCCTGCAGAGACTGCGAGAAACACTACATCGGACAAACAGGAAGGAAACTAACAACAAGGGTACATGAACACCAACTGGCTACAAAAAGACACGACCAACACTCACTCATCTCAATCCACATGGACAAGGAGAACCACGACTTTGACTGGGACAACACCAAGATCCTGGGACAGGCTAGGCAGAGACAAGCAGGAGAATTCCTGGAAGCGTGGCACTCCACGAAGCAGGCTATTAATAAACACATTGAACTCGACCCCATATACATTCCACTACGGAGGAAACCAGAAGTGAGGCAATCCATCGCAATGGACCTCAGAGTTTAAAAACCAGGCGGGAAAACACACCGACGCTTCATCAGAGGCTGCACTGAGGATGTTACCAAGCATGGTAATGAAACGTCTGCAGAACAACAAACCAGCTCGGCGAGCCAACCAACCTCAACACCCACAACACGAGCTATAAATCTACTCCAAAACCTTTGGGAAACCTGGTCGGCATGGACAAGTTGGACCGAAGGGTCTGTTTCTGTGCTGTCTGACTCTATGACTCTATCTAAACAGAGGAAGGATGAAGTTGGAGAATGAATTAGAGATTGAGAGTTCAAACTCAAATTACACACTGAGAGAAAAAAAATAGAGATGGAGAAAGATTGAAATGAGATAGTGAAAACGGCATAAAGAAAAAGTAAGGAAAAGCTCTCAAGGAGAAATGGGACAATTATTTTAGAATCCCCAACATCAATTCACAACCTGAAGGAATGAGACTGGAAAACTCTCATCTGCTGCCTATGTTCCGTTGCACAACAATTGCAGATTATTCAGTGATTTTATAAAAACAGCCCATCTGCTCTCTAGAAAAATATGGATAATTTCTGGGTGTGGGAAATATAATGCAAAAATTGAAATATTTTGGTGAGAATCTTTACAATATGTTTACAGTACGTTTAATATGTTTTTGTAATATGGCCAAACTTTGGCATTTAAATGGTGCCCTTAGCAAAACATTTGGAAGAATTGCTATGTTTCAGTGAGTATGTGCAGTGCCTGGTGACCACAGAGCAGTGTGCAATGAGTGCTCAGGTGGAACTCAATCGGGGAATGGGGTTTGATATTTGGCCTCAACATTCTTTGTAACAGTCAGTAAGGCTCTATCAAACTGTAGAGGAACCACTGCTGGATTGAGCTCAACTATTGAACACGCCACTGTGTTCTCTGGTCAACATCTGTATTCTCTGGCTTGCTGCAGTGCTCCAGCAAGGCTCAGCACAAGTTGGAAGAACAACACCTCATTTCCCACTTGGGAACTCTACAACCTTCTGGACTCAATATCGAGTTCAATTTTAGGGCTTCAGACACTTTCTCCAATGTCCTTACCCCAACACCCACACACCAGGCTTTGTTATCACATGGTCTGCTATTACACACAACCCATTGTTAGCCATTAATAGTCCCCATTAGTAGCCATTCATTCTCCCAGCAAGACTGTTTGTCTGTCCAACTGTTCTTCTCTCTCTTTGGGTTCCATCTCCAGCTATCGTTTACTCCTTACCCCCTTCTCCCACCCTATCTTCTGCATAAAAACCAGCTTTTTTCTGAGTTACCATCAGTTCTGAAGGAAGGTCACTGGACTGGAGATGTTAAGTTTGATTTCTCACCACAGATGTTTCCAGTCCTGCTGAGCTTTTCCAGCAACTTCTGCTTTCGTTTTCAAGCTCAACCATGATGCCTCTGTCATTAAATTTCCCACCAAATTGTCACGTTTAAAGCTCGAATGATCACATCTTCCACCCAAAATGAGTGACTGCTGCATTCAAAATCTTTCTCAGATTGAACAGCTACCTTGTTCAGGAAGAATTAGGCAGCAAAAAGAGGGCTTACTTTGCATTTAAATCTTTGGAATGCTTTTATTGGTATTGAGTGATATCAGAAACCAACAAACTAACATCTTTGTGTGAAATGCCTCTCTGCTTTTAATATTAACGTTAACGCCCTTACGTTAACCAGACTGTCTTTCATAAAAAGCAGACTGAGCTCTTAGGTACAAATAACTTGTCAATATTGTGTAATGTAACTTAAATCCATGTGAGGCACATCAGATTTCAGTGGAAATTAAAACAGAAGTGATGTAAAACCTGACTGTCAACTCCGTCTCAAAAAAATTAAATAATGTCAAGACCTCCCCTGATATCTTTGTACAGCGAGTTGAAGACAAAATTGGGCTGCCTCCAAAATATTCTTTCTCTTTTCTGACATTGCTATTTGTCAGTACTTCTCAACTCAAGCATGAAGTGATCCCGATTTCAAACTTAAATTAATCTGTTGCTTTTATTCAATCCATCTCTTGATTCACTTGGAATCTGCAGACTTATCACTTGTAGGAAGAAAGGCTTGAAAAGAATTGTACATTTTACACACTTAAAATTGATCAATTGAATTGTGTTTCAGAGCGGGATTAATGCACACATCAAGAACACTTACAATCAGACGGCCCTGGACATTGTTCATCAGTTCACAGCAACACAAGCAAGCAAAGAGATTAAGCAAATGCTCAGAGGTAAGTCTAAAAGTATAAAAGTGTTTCAGACTGCTCCATATTGGACTATGCACCTACAATAAAGAAGGAAGTGATAGTATTTACATAGCACCTTTCATGACCCCAAGACCAAATGAACAGTCAACAAAATACTTCTGAAGTGTCGTAATCTGGGAAATGCAGCAGCGAATTTGCATAACAAGTATGAAATGAGCTGCCAGAGGCAGTGGTGGAGGCTGGTACAATTGCAACATTTGAAAGCCATCTGGAAGGGTAGATGAATAGGAAAGGTTGAGAGGGATCTGGGCCAAATGCCGGCAAATGGGACTAGGCCAGATTGGGATGTCTGGTTGGCATGGACTCCATAAGTAACATCTCGTCCAAAAGCTGGCACCACTGACAGCGTAACTGAGGCAACTCAAAGCCAACTGCTTTGACCCCTCACACTCCCATCATTGGCTGCTCAACACGTCAATTCACAGTACCCTGAATTCCCACTCCAATTGGAAAGTTAAGCAACTCTTCCTTACCTGAAATAATGATACTCAACAGTCAGCCATTTCCCATCACAAATATTTCAAGAGAAATAAATGAAAATGGCCTGTGCTGCTGCAGCCTAACACAGAGCCTGACAACCCAGTGCAACATTTTCACAGGCCTCCCAAATCCAATCCC